CAGTTTTGCTCCGTTGAGGTGCGATGGAAATCGTGGGCTCGGTTTAATTTGGGTCTGATGGGGGCTGCATGCGCTATCGTGGGTTGTGCCGCGCCCGCGCAAACCGCCACGCCGTCCTGTTCTGAACGCCTCTCCGCGAGGAATTCGGTTGGCTTCCAAGGAATCCAGTTGCCTCTGGGCCGTGGGGTTCTCTGTGGGCCGGAGCTTCTGCGAGGGCCCAGGGGCAAACTTCCGCGGGCCAGGGGGCCTGATGCGGCCTGCCCGCTACCCCCTGGTCCTGGATGCCTCTGGCTTCCAACGCCCTCGCTGCAATGGTTTTGGGGCGGTATGTGCGTTTGTGCGTGCGCGTGTTTGTGCGCGCGTTGTTTTCAGTGCTTTTGGCAGTTCAGAACTTTGACGACCGAGCGAACTCGTTTTGTTTTCCATGCCGCCATTGCCTGCTCCATGCTTTTTTTTGTGCTTCAGTTTGTAAATCTGTGTTTCTATGCAGCCTTCGGAGGCTTCGCGCATTCTCCGAGACCCTCGGGGGGTCACCTGTGGGCGCGCGCCGTGATAGAGCCCATGCAGGTGGTGGCCGTGCGCGGGGCTTCTGTTGTTGTTGTTGTTGTTGTTGTTGCTGTTGTTGTTGTTGTTGAACATTATTTATTATAAAGAATAATTATTGTTGGGCCCCCTGGTGCGCGCCCCCCCTGCGCCGCCTAGGCCGCAGCTACATTTTCATCATTTTCGTGGGGAAGCCTCAGAAAAGAGGGTGTGTACAGGATCCGGTTGTTTTGTTGTAATCCGCTTTCCCTTGCAAAAAACAATAGAAAATGACATTTCTTGTTCTAATATAATCAAATTTCAAGAATCCCTTGCAAAAAATAAGGTAAAGTGGACATTCGCGCGCGCAAGACGAAATCCTTCCAAAACCTTAGTGTTCGCAGCGATTTTAACATAAAAACATCAAAAAACCAATGGTTTTTCAACAAAAAATTGTCAAAATCTCATCCCGCGCGCTCTTGCGGATTCGTAGGAAACCCAACACTTTTTAAACATTTCTGTCAAACGGGCTTTTGCGAGCAACTTTTTCGAACTTCTGCGACAACGGTTGCGCACCTGCCAGGGCCATCATCCCTGTCAAATAATACCATGCGGGACACATTCGTTTTTTTCTTCGCGCGCGCACGCCGAAATCTCAAAAAACCATTGGGCTTCTTAAGAATTTTAGCACCGCGCATCATAACATCACACGAATCGCACCGTAGGTCCTCGAAAAACACCTGCACGACTTTTCAAAATTTCTACCCGCGCGCGCTGTCCGAATCCTAAAAAACCATCAGGACAACCATCAGGACAACCATCGGGACAATCATCGGGACAACGATCGGGACAACCACAACCATCAGGACAACCATCGGGACAACCATCGAGACAACCATCGGGACAACCATATCCTCTCTCTCTTGTGTATTCCCACATCCCTCAGGAATTTGCCCTAAAGATGTGATCAACTATCTTGTGAGTACGTATCATGTGTATCATGTGTATCATGTACCATATGCATCATATGCAACAGATGTTCTGTGGAAGGCTTAACAACTTCTGTGGGTTAACAAGGCTTAACAACTTCTGTGGGTGTACGAACGTAGGCTTAACAACTTCTGTGGGTGTGTACTCCACGCCAGTGTAGTAGCCACGGTCGTCCGCAGGCCACGAAGTGAAGTGTCCGAACGTCATAGGGCGGGAAGCTGGGTGTGGGTGGTGGCGAAGAGTCGTGTGGATATTTGGTAGAGCTTGCACTGCCCCCCCACAAAGTGGGGGTATTGGCTGGCGTCGCATGAAAACCCTGGCACTGGTGAGAACACTGAGCGTTCGGGTAAAGTGATTGTTGTTGTTGTTGTAAAACAAACAATGGGATGCATTCGACGTTTGAGATGTCTATCGCCATCTTTGGATACGTGCTGGCTGATCGCCGAGGGCCGCTACCCCCCTGGGGAGCCCTGGGGGCCTCAAGCTGGAGCCTCGCTGCCGAACTCGCAAGGTGCTCCTGGAGGTCCTGGATCTCTTGGCATTGACATGCCTTCGCGTGTGCCGTACGAGATATTCACGCATCCGGATACAATCATTTCACAGTGTGTGTGTGGGTGTTTGTGTGTGAATGTGTGTGTGTGTGCGTGCGTGCGTGCGTGCGTGCGTGCGTGCGTGGGTGTGGTTGTGTGTGTGTGTTGTGTGTGTTGTGTTGTGTTGTGTTGTGTTGTGTCGTGTTGTGTTGTGTTGTGTTGTGTTGTATTTTGCTGTGCTGTGTTGTGCTGTGTTGTGTTGTGTTGTGTTGTGTGTTGTGTGCTGTGTGTGTTGTGTGTGTGTGTTGTGTGTTGTGTGTGCTGTGTGTGTTTTGTGTTGTGTGTTGTGTGTGTTCTGTGTGCTCTGTGTGTTCTGTGTGTTCTGTGTGTTCTGTGTGTTGTGTGTTGTGTGTGTGTGTTGTGTGTGTTGTGTGTTGTGTGCATTGTGTGTGTTGTGTGTGTGTGTGTTGTGTGTGTGTGTGTGTTGTGTGTTTTGTGTGTGTGTGTTGAGTGTGTGTGCGCGCGCGTGCGTGCGTGCGTGCGTGCGTGTGTGTGTGTGTGTGTGTGCGTGTGTGTGTGTGTGTGTGCGTGTGTGTGTGTGTGTGCGCGCCCGTTTGGCGCCCCTCCTGCTCCCCCGCCGCCGCCTGCCGCCCGCTGCCCGCCGCCTCCCGTGGGGCCCTTTTCGCCGCCGCCCGCTTGGCGCCACTGCCCGCTGTTCCGCCACTGGCCGCTGCCCGCCGCCCCCCACCACTGCTCTATGAGGGCCCGGCGGTTCCCCCCTTTTCTTTTTCGGCTCCCGGGGCGTCCCTGGGTGCCTCACTGGGCCCGGCGTCAATTCGCTTCGCGGGGCCTGCGAGTTTGAGCGCTCGTGCGTCTTCCCGCTCCGGCTACGTGCGATCAATGTGTGTTGTGACTTGTGAGTTCTGTATTGTGCGTGTAAGTGTAAGTGCAAGTGTAGTTGCAAGTGTAACGGTAAGTGCAAGAGTAAGTTTAAGTGCAAGTGCAAGTGTAAGTGTGAGTGTGAGTTTGAGTGTGAGTGTGAGTGTGAGTGTGTGTGTGAGTGTATGTGTGTGTGTTTGCTTATGGCACAGCTTGGAGCATGGTCTCCTCCCACCCAAACAGTGCTGCCATTCGGTGGTTTAACGTGCGTGTGCTGGAGGTGCCTGCCCCGCTGAGCTGGGTCCTGGCCGTCGCCGCCATTGACGTCCCGCCGCCGCCGCCGCCACAAAGCTCGGCACACATGGGGTTCCACACGCAGGGTAGTAACCCGAGTTCTTTCCGCCGCCGCATAGATCAGATGAGTAAGAGGCATCCATACCGCTACCCTCGCCCAGTTTGCGCCTTATGGGGTCTCTTGGGAGGCCCTCGTCGCCACTGTTGGATTCACCCCGAAATTTTTGTCAGAACGCACCCAGAGCCGTGGAGTAGCGGTATCGGTACTATTTGATTTTCCCAGCAGTGTGTAGGATGGGGTCTGTGTGGGGTCAAGTAGTGGGCTGTGTGGCTGGGGTCAAGTTTGGGGATGGATGGGGTCTGTTATCGGTACCTTTCTATGGGTAGTGTGGCTGGGGTCAAGTTTGGGATGGAGGAAGGGCGGCGGGTAGGAAAGTGGGGGATGCGGGAGTGACGAGCGAAAGGGCGAAAAGGCAAGCTAGTCGAGCGCGCCGTATGTGCCATCCTAATACACCTTCCCGTTGCGAAGCTTTTTCCGTCCGCCGAGGGGAGAGGGCGGAGATGATAGGAGCGGCGGGGTCGGGGAGAGCACGGGCGGGGAGAATTGTTCAGAAGCGGTCGCTCTGAACCCGCCTTGGGGAGCTGCCCTGGGCTTCCTCCTGGCCGAGCGGAGAGATTCCCAAGATGTGCTTGCGCAAACATGCTCGGCATGTCCGATGTTGGCTGCGTGACATGGTGAGCACAGGAGGAATAGGATGAAGAAAGGAGGATGAGGATGAGGAGGAGGAGAAGGCGGATGAGGAGGACATAACGACGACGACGACGACGACGACGACGACGACGACGAGGAGGAGGAGGAGGAGGAGGAGGATGATGATGATGATGATGACGATGATGCTGAAGACGATGGTGATGAAACTTGTGTAGATGATGCTGCTGATGATGGTGGTGATAATGATGAGGAGGATGGCAGCAACGATGATGTGGACGACGATGATAATGCTGCTGATGATAATGATGCGGATGATGGTAATAATGCTGGTTCTGCTGCTGCTGATGATGATGGGTATGATGACGATCATGTCGACGACGTCGACGATCGCGACAACGACGACGACCACGAGACGACGATGATGATGATGGTGGTGGTGATGATGGTGATGGTGGTAGTGAGGATGGTGATGACAACGACGACGACGATGAATATTATGATGATGATGATGGTGATGGTGATGCTGATGCCGATGATAATGATGATAATGCTGATGATGATAACGATGCTGCTGATGATGCTGATGATGACGATGCTGCTGATGATGATGATGATGATGATGATGGTGATGATGATTATTATGCTGACTGGCTATGATGACTATGGTGATGATTATTGTGATGGTGGCGATTATGATGCTGATGGTGATGACGATGCCACCTATGATTATGATGGGTGTCGTGGTGATGATGATGGCGATGCTGATCGTAGAATAATATGATGATGACGAGGAGGAGGAGGAGGAGTAGGGGGACTTTTGATGAGACGGAGAATGAGAAAAGGAGCGATGACGATAATCATGGGAAGGAGACTTATGAGGATAGGGGCGCTGACGATGATGGTTGGAAGCAGGAGGAGGAATCAGGAAGAGGAGGAGGAGAAGGAGGAGGAGGAGAATGATCATGAGAAGGAGGAGAAGGGGGAGCAGGAAGAAGAGGAGGAGGAGCCGAGGTAGCTCCAGGCATGCGACATATGCATCATTCTGCAAACCGCCTGCTTGGCACCGGGTGGAGGCCGGCGATATGTGCCAAACGAGGCGCGGCTGACCGCACCCTGCTGCACTCGGCCGCCCTCGCCGGCAGCACCGAGGCCCTCCCCCGCCTCCCCTCTGCCGTGATCCTGCGTCCCGCCCCCCTGGCCTCCTTGGGCGACAAGCGTGTGCCCATATCCGCGGCCTCTCGCGGGCCGGGTCCCTGGGCCCCGACCCCGCTGATACGGGGCGTTTTTTTTGTTTTTGTTTTTGTTTTTTGTTTTTTACGTAAAAGAACACGTACCGGTGCGACCGCGTGTCTGCGGGATCGCGCCCTGAAATCCAGACGGCGAGGGCGCGGCTACGGACACGATCGCCGCTTGTGATCGTCGGGAGAGGGACGGTGCACACCACCTTCCGGGCATCCACGGGCGCACGCTGGGCCAGGTCCCAGTGTACAAAATTGTCCCCCGGCCTGGCTGGGAGCCTGTGTGGCGCCAGGGTAGATCGGTGGTCCCCAAACGGGGTGGTGACCACACCGTGCGGTGAGTCGGTGGGGATTCGGGGTCACCGCACGGTTTCGGGACTCGGGTCGTTCTCCGAGGATGTCTCGGGCGACAGGGGCCTCCAGGGTCCCAAGACCGTGCGGTGACGGACCGTGCGGTGAGGTCTTGGGGGATTTCGAGGTCACCGCACGGTCTGTCACCGCACCGTTTCGGGACTGTCGTGCGGATGCGTGCAGATGGTGGCACGTGCATTTCCCCTCTCCGTGGAGATGTTTTCACCCTCTGATCCTCTGGCGCGTAACTGTCGTTGCCGTTACCCAGGCCAAACCTTTCCCCCCCAATCTCTGTGGGGGTGACGGTAACGATCGTACGTGGGGGCGTGGGGGGTGGCAGAACGCCCCCCGCACATGCTGGTGCTCGCACGCGTACCCATCGGTCGTTGAAAGTATATCGGTATGTTTGGGTTTCCAGTTCCCAATCTACTTTAAGCGCCTTCCTACTTCAATGATCGAGTGGCCTCACCTTTTCCGTCCTCCGAAGGGGGCGGGCGGAGCCCAATCTGCTCTCGACGCCTTCCTGCTTCATGCCTCCACCCACTTCTTCCCACCGATGGGTTCATACGGTGATCGCAGCGCACCCCCGCCCCGACGCGACGTGGCCCACCCCGCCCAGGCGTTACCCTTACCTGAGTCGGGGGAGCGTAAGACCCGGGTTTGCCGGGACTCGGGTTCGCCATCGTTTTTTGACGACCGCGACTCGGATTTTGACGAGGAGGAGTTTCGTGGGATGTCTGCAGCGGGAGGCCTCGTCAAAATGCAGGCTCGGCCTCGTCATTTTTTTGACGATCTCGTCGGGGATTTCCGAGTCCCCCGTACCCGGGTCTTACGTCTCCCCGACTGGGGCCTCAGCCCCGTCCCGCGCCCGCCTGGGTCACGACCGCCACCAGAAGCAGCAGGAGAGCGGCCTCGTGCCCAGGGCGTGCCCCCGAGAGGGCCTCGCCTTCGGCGGGAGGCCGGCGGGAGCAAAAGGCGGCGCCGGGCCCGCCGGCGGCCGCGGGAGCAAGGCGTCCGCCGTTTTCTCGGTCCGCGGCCTCTGGAGTCGGCCAGGGCGGTCACACCGGAGGATATATATATATATATATATATATATAGATATGCTCGCCCCCCCCTGTGATCATACATTTCGCCTTCTTTCTCATCCTCCTCGTCGTCGTCCTCCTCCTCATCATCATCCTCATCGTCGTCGGCCATATATATATATATATATGTATATTAACCAAGCCTGGCCGCGAGGATGGCTTGGGCAAGCGAAAACAAACACAAGAGGGAGTCGGCCGGGGCGGCCCGAGCCCGCGGCCTCCTCGTCCGGAGCGGCTCTTCTTGCGGGAGGCCCGGTGGGCGGCGCGCGTTCCCCTGCGAGGGGCGGGCGTCGCAGCTGTTCTGTCCGCGCCGGGCGCTCTCGCCCGACGGGCCGATCTGGCCCAAGGGGGTGTAGGGCTCGGGCTGTGGAGGGCGATCCGTGGAGAGGAAGCGTGTTGCCAACTCAGTCCAGATGTCTACAGCATGTGTTGAGTATGTTTTAGGCATGTTGCGCACATGCTCAAAGCACGTCTAGAGCTTGTTTCCGACATCTGTAGCGCATTTCAGATGCAATGATAGGACTGTTAGGGCGTCCATCGTCGTGGCATCCGCACGGCTCGGGTCGTGCCTCTCGCCGGCTTCTTTCGGGAGGGAAAGCAACACACAGACACAATTCATCGTCGACATCCAGGAAGAGATGGGGAACTATGGGAAGTGTGTGTGTGTGTGTGGGGGGGGAAGGCAGAGACCCCGAACGCAGGGGAGAATCTATATGGGGAATCCTGCCACTCGTGTCTCTTTTCTCTGCGTGTCCCAGGGCCCCCTTCCTTTTTTGCCCTGGCGAGGCCGCATCGCAGGGCTCCGCCTGCCCGCCTGGAGCGGCCCGGGCCCACGGCCTTTTCCCTCCGCCGCCAGCTCGGCAGCCTGACCCGTGCAGGTTGGCCCGCCCGTCCAGGCCCTCCCCCGCCTCCCTTCTGGTTGGAAGCAGGAGGAGGAGGAGGAGGAGGAGGAGGAGGAGGAGGAGGAGGAGGAGGAGGTTGATAATGAGGAGGAGGAGGAGGAGGAGGGGGAGCAGGAAGAAGAGGACGAGGAGCCGAGGTAGCTCCAGGCATGCGACATATGCATCATTCTGCAAGCCGCTGGCTTGGCACCGGGTGGAGGCCGGCGATATGTGCCAAACGAGGCGCGGCTGACCGCACCCTGCTGCATTCGGCCGCTCTCGCTGGCAGCACCGAGGCCCTCCCCCGCCTCCCCTCTGCCGTGATCCTGCGTCCTGCTCCCCGTGTCTCCTTGAGCGACAAGCATGTGCCCATATCCGCTGCCTCTCGCGGGCCGGGTCCCTGGGCCCCGACCCCGCGGATACGGGGCGTTTTTTTTTTTTGCGTATCCGTGTGACCTCGTATCTGCGGGATCGCGCCCTGGAATCCAGCGAACGAAGGCGCGGCTACGAACACGAAGGATTGTCCGCCCGTTCAGGTTTTCCCGCCTGTCTAAGCCCGCTGCCCCCCGCGAAGAGGAATAATCCCCCCAAAGGGGGTGTGATCGAAGACAACAAAGGGCGGGTTCCGAGGGTGCGGGGAAGTTGTTTCGAATGGCACACGGGCAAGTGAGAGCGAACAGTCTTAGAATGATCGTTGCTGCTGTTGTTGTTGCTGCTGCTGCTGTTGTTGTTGTTGTTGTTGTTGTTGTTGTTGTTGTTGTTGTTGTTGTTGTTGAACTCCTGGCTTCTGAAGAATAATTATTGTTGGTCCCCCAGGTGCATGCTGCTTTTTCTCAATCGAAGTGTGCCCCTCGACGCTCGCACCCGGTTTTTTGACAGGGAAAGTCTTCCTGCTCAAGCTGCGCCCCTGGCCCCTGGGTTACAACAACAACGGCTCCCGCATGAGACTTCCTCACAATTTAGCCAGGTCCCCCGCTCCCGCCCGAGACAGCCTCGTATTTGTTTCAGGAATCGCGCTCTCGCTTGGGACTTCCTTGCACTTTATTCAGGAATCGCCCTCCCGGCGCTCTGGAGTCGCGCTTTCGCTGGAGACGTGCTTACAATTTACTCACGAATAGCGCCCTTGCGTTGGAATTTCTTGCTATTTACTCAAGCGCCGCGCTCCCGACACCCAGGCACCCAGGAGTCCCGCTCACGCTTGGGATTCCCTCACAGATTACCTAGGAATCGGGATCTCGCTGCCCTTCGTGGCCCCGTTGCAGCCCTTCGTGGCCCCCTCGTTTTGTTTCGTGGACCCGTTGCTGCCCTTCGTGGCCCCCATGCTGTGTTTCGTGGCCCCGTTGCAGCCCCTCGTGGCCTCCTCGCTGCGCTTCGTGGCCCCCATGTTTTGTTTCGTGGCCCCGTTGCAGCCCGTCGTGGCCCCCTCGCTGCGTTGCAGCCATTCGTGGCCCCCTCGCTCCCCTTTGTGGCCCCGTTGCAGCCCTTCGTGGCCCCCTCGCTGCCCTTCGTGGACCCATATATGTATGCCCTTCGTGGCCCCCGCTCGTTCGCGCCCGTGGTGGCCCCATATGCATGCCCTTCGTGGCCCCGCTGTCGCCCTTCGTGGCCCCCTCGCTGCCCTTCATGGCCCAGTTGCTGCTCTCAGTGGCCCCGTCCTTGCCCTCCGCGGCCCAACATACGTATGCCCTTCGTGGCCCCCGCTCGTTCGCGCCCGTTGTGGCCCCATGTGCATGCCCTTCGTGCCCCCGCTGTCGCCGTTTGTGGTCCCCTCATTGTCCTACGTGGCCCAGTTGCTACCCTCAGTGGCCCCATCGTTGCCTTCTGTGGCCCCGCATTATCTGCCCTTCGTGGCCCCCGCTCGTTCGCGTTCTTCGTGGCCCCATACGCATTCCCTTCGTGTCCCCGCTGTCGCCCTTCGTGGCCTACTTCGTGTCCTTCGTGGCCCTGCTGTCGTTTTCTCTCGCTCTCGCTTTCGCTCGTCGTCGTCGTCGTCGTCGTCGCCGTCGTCGTCGTCGTCGTCGTCGTCGTCGTCGTCGTCGCCGTCGTCGTCGACGTCGTCGTCGTCGTCGCCGTGGTCGGTCCCCTGTCCGTCCCTCTTGGGGTCGGGTCGACGGTCCGCGGCCGCCCCGCCGATCAGCGCTGCCGCTGGTCAGGCCGACGGTCCGCGGCCGCCCCGCCGCTTGCCAGGGCCCGGCCTGCAGGGAAGAAAGGTATACCCCCCAAAAGGGATTCGATCGAAGACGAAGAGGGCGGGTATCGAAGGTGTGGGAAATACGTGTTATTGGACACTCGAGCAGATAGGGACGAACATTCTTAAAATGATTGTTATTGTTGTTGCTGTTGAATTCTCACTTCTGAAGAATAATTATTGTTGATCCCCCCTCACCGGTGCATGCTGTTTTTTCTAAATCAAAGTGTGCCCCTCGACGCTCGCACCTGGTTTTTTTACAGGGAAAGACTTCCTGCTCAAACTGGGCCCCTGGCCCCCCCCATAGTACAACAACAACAACAACGGCTCCCGCTTGAGACTTCCCCAAAATTTACTCAGGACCCCTGCTCTTGATATTTTCCACAATTTGCTCAGGATCGGTGCT